CGTATAGCAGTTAAAATCACACCGAGTTGCTGCCTCAGCGAGAAATGACGAATAATCAATCTGTTAGACCAGTGGTGCGCAAACTTTTTTCGACTGCGACCCCTTTAGTAGAGAGAAATTTTTGGCGACCCCTAGAGATAAATGTTCACAAATAATGTATATTTCGCGCATTTCTTTCGTTTCGAATAAAAACATCGTCATATCTGACTCATATTAATTTTATTTATAATTTTAAGAAAATACTTTTGTATAACACCAAAAATCAGTAAATTGCCCTTTAATGAGACGTATGTGGCTGCAAGTTTCTAATTATCTCATCGATGTTTTGGATGTATGTTGCTAATTGCAATTCGCATATCATCTTCAGGGTTTAAACGCGAGCGGTATTTAGTTTTTATTGAAACTAGTTTGCTAAATCCAGTTTCACATAAATACGTTGATGCAAATTGTATTAACACTCTGGCATTCTTGCATAAAACGGGATATTGTTAAACTTTCCACGGATAGCCAACATTTTTGGCAAGGCTGAGTCTTAAATTGATTTCGAAGAGTATAATCACTAATTAGATCTATCAATTGCTCTTTCTCACTAATTTGAAGAGTTGAACTGCATATGTCAAAGGAAAATGGATCACGAATCCAACCAAGATCGTTTTCAGGAAAATACTCGAATCTTCTCGAAAAATTTTCCTTTAACTTTTCAATGTGATGTTGGAAACGATGTGTTTTAAATGTAAATATATCTATATTATTTCCTTGATAAAATCGTTAAAGCAAGGGGAACATGTCGGTGTGTTGTTTTATTCAGTTCAGTTTCCCAGAGACAAGCTTATTCTTAAAAGCTTGAATTTTACTGGCTGAAGATATGATAGTTGAATTCTCACCCTGCAAGCTCAAATTTAAGTTCGTTAAGTTTTTCGAAAATATCAACTAAATAGCTCAGCTTTCCTAGCCAAACTTCATTGATATATACAACTTGCCAATCTGTGTTTCCTTTCCGATTAAAAACATGTACACTTCATTTCTCAAATATCCGTCGTAGTATTTTCTCACGTGAAAGCCATCTGACTTCGGTGTGTAACAGTAATCTCTCATACGTTGAGCCCATCTCATTGCAAAGTATTGAAAAGTGACGGCTGTTGTGGGTGTTGCATTTAATGTAGTTAATTGAACGAACAGCATCTTGTAATATGTTGTGCAACTCTTCATCCGATATCTTTTGCAACAAGAGCTTGTCTGATGAATCATACAAGTAATTAAATACCAATGAGGCGACACCTTCTGAATTAAGCCTCTGAGCCCTTTATTCGAACCTTGTTAGTGCTGCAGCACCATCAGTACAAACCGCAACACAGTTTGCCTAGGTAAGGGACTTTGTTTCAAAATATTCATTTATTACTTCGAATATTTTTTCTCCAGTTGTTTTTTCCCTTCCAAACTTTTGCAACATAAAAACATTTCTGTTATATCTTCATTAAAATAAACCTAACGTAAATAATTAGTTGTGACATGACATTTTAGTAATTAAGGTAGTCTCGTCCAGTTGTAAATGAAATACAGATGAATTTTGCATGCGTTTTATGACTTCTGACTCGTTATTCGTGACATTTCGGAAATCCGCCGGAGATCTCTTGATAATGTATTGTTTTTAGTTGAGAAGTTCCATTTTTATCATTAATTTAATGTCATATTATATTAGTTGCTGCAGGAAGGATAAGGGATTCTCCAATTGTATGGGGTTTCATTGTTTTTCCTATTAGATAAGAAACTTCTAAAAAGAGCTCGTATGCTTTCTGAGGTATTGTTGTAAATTCTTTTAAATGAGCCCTTTGAATTTTCAGATTTTCAGCTCGTCTTTGAAAAAAATCGGCATTGTATTTTGAAGTTCTTTATGTTTAATTTCCAGGTGCCATTTTAATTTAGCTGATTTCATGCTCTCATTTGCTAATTTTCGTTGCAAATGACACATATAGGGCAAATGACACATAACAAATAATATATAAAATTTATCATTTTTTTCGAGAAATTCAATAAAATTAACAGAGATTTTTCTCTAATGATAGTACATACCTGATACAAAGAGTAGCAAAGGCCGATAAAAATATAAAAAAATCATAATACACAACAACGTCACACGATAAAACTCGAGGATAAACTAAAAAAAATTGCAGGCCAACAGCTACATGCTACAACTTCACGTCTTCATTCTGACTATCAGATACACTGCGTACCTCGCCATCTGATTGGCTGATCACGGAAGCGAATTTTTCCCCTTTCCCTGCGGTTAACGTCTAGTCAAATAGGCGCTTTACAGTAAAACTGGCGAATTATCGCGAAGAGGGCGCTATCTACCGGAGTGAAAACCTTGCATCTTCACACTTTACATACATTACGCATTACGGTCAAAGAAAGAGCGGACAGCATGAAATTGCAATTAAACAGTGAGTGACGGCGCTTCACTCTTTATATGTACATTGTATGGTATGCAGCATGCAGGCATAATGCATTTCATAAAAATTTGGCGACCCCCAAAAAACCCCTAGTTTGCGCACCACTGTGTTAGACGACATCTGGATGCTTTTACCCGGGGTCGAATCATTGGGAAGTTGAAAGAAGGCCGCAGTGTGACAAGTGTGGCTGCAGAGTTCGGAATTGCTAACAGCATCGTTTCACGAGTTTGGAGACAATTTCAAACTACAGGAACAGCTATCCGGGGGTTTAGTAGTGATCGTTCACGAGGAACCACACCCGCAGATGTCCGGTATATTGCCTTACAGGCCAGAAGAAACAGGCGGCAGACAGCGGGAGAAATCGCTAGACACACGACACAGGCGACTGGAAGATCGATATCGCGTTTTACCGTGGCCAGAAGACTGCACGGTGGTGGTCTGTTTGCACGACGCCCTATACGGTGTGTACCTCTAACGCCTGCCCATCGGAGAAGGCGTTCTCTGTGGTGCCGGGAACACCGGAATTGGAGAGACAATGAATGGGGACGAGTACTCTTTACAGATGAGAGCAGATTCAGTCTGAGTAGCAATTCTCATCGCATACTCATCTGGAGAGAGTGGGAAAGCCGCAATCATCCCTCGAACGGTTACAGCCGAAAACATCGCGGCAAAAACATCGCAGACGAAAACGTCGCGGAGAAAACAACGCAAGGCGAAAACGTCGTGCTACAAAACGTCGTGCTACAAAACATCGTGGGAGAAAACATCGCAAAGAGAAAACATCGCAGTTCTAAAACATCGTCGTACAAAATATCGTCGTCGAAAATAAAGCGGTTCAAAAACTTCGCAGTTTAAAAACATCGTCGTCGAAAATATCGTGGTAAAAAATAAAGTATATACAAATCATCGCATGACGATAACATCGCAGACATGCTTTTTTTCAGGCTTTAATAACTGTAAATGGATATTCCCGTAATGATTTGTGAGCGCCAAGATGGAAAGAAGGATAATTTTTACTTTCATATTTTTTTATTAACTAATAAATTTTAGCTGAAAAAGTAAGAAGGAGACTTAAGCATAGAAAATTAATGCAAACTTATAGCACTTAATAGAATTTTAAACCGATATAGTTAATTAACAAAGGTCATTAATAAATCATTTTTTATAAAGTTTTTACTGGTAATTTTTATGAAAGGTATTATCTAAAAAAGATTAGAAAAAGGAAGGTAAGTGACTGCATGACCTTATTTATAAAAAAATTGCTAAGTTAATTTTGAGATTATTTTCTTCACTTTTGTTAGTCTAATACTCTTATAGCGAAAATTATTTCTTGTTTTGTTTCAGTTTATTTTTAAAATGTCATTAAAATTTCCATGCACAGCATGCAGTCAGTTACTTGAATGACGATTTGTTAATTATGAAGAAAGTCAGCTATGCATGATATTTCAGTAGGATTTTTATTTATTAGATTATGCCAAAGCACACTACGGCTATTTGCTTAAGGGGTGGGATTCCTTTGTGGAGTACATTCTCGGGAACTGGTTCATATGCACATTATACTTTAGGAACATCACGAAAACCTTCATGCAGTTTTTTTTTTTTTTTTTTTTTTTAGAAATAATATATACTTGCATTCTTGGTGACTATCTCCCTCTAAGACGAACAGTGTTTTTGAGAATAATAAACATTGGTTTTTAATCATTACGCAAATTCACCACATTCAGTCAAGATTAAAAAGATATAGAATTTTCAGTAGTCGGTTTAAATAGGATTGCTTATATTTACTTTTAGATTTAGACAGTTCTTATTTAGCACTTTAAAAGTATTATTTATTTTTTCATATACATTTTATTCGAAAATTTTGTAGTTACTTGTTGAACTTACAGTGGCCAACTTTCTAAGACAATTTTGAATGTTTTCTTCGGTATTTCTTAATTTTCAGAATATCTTAAATTATGCTCGCCAAAAATCTGTAGCGAAATTATAATTAATATTTCTGAGTGAGATTCTATTTTGTAGCGATTCTTTGTCTAGCAACTTTGAAGCGACTAATTTTTCTTGTAGATTTTTAATTAAAGATAAAATTTAGTGAAATAAAAACTTACTCAAATTTCCTTTATATAGATTTCAAGGATAAAAAACTGTACATATTTTATATCGTCTTTCTTTTCACTGACTGAAACGTTTCAAGTACAATTTCTTTTTGTATTTATATGACAAATTGTTTGGAATAAGAAAATATAACATTTTTATGAATCATATGAATCATATGAATACATATTTATGAATCATATATGCTTTAGAAACATATGATTTTGAATATCAATCATAATTAAATTTTAAAATCCGGGTTCGCTTCGTGTATGATTATTTTTTAATTAAAGTATCCAGAAAGAAATTGTTTCAAAAAAATGAAAGTATTTAGTGCGTCTAGGCATTAATCTATTGGAAAAAGATATCTTGAAAGAAAGCAAGTTAATTTCCATAGTTTACGTTTTAAATCAAACAAAATTATTTTTTTGTTTTAATAATTTTACAAATCTTATTTTTTTTTTTCATCTGTAATTAACTGTAGTTTTAGTTTCTCAGTTCGCAATAATAAGCAAAGATAGACTGTGAAATAGCTAAGTCAGTGAGAGGTGTGTTATTAGGTAAATGTAGAATTCAGTTTATCTATGTACACCACTGTAAACAACAAATATACTAATTGCTTATCTGGATTTCGCGAACGGGCTGGCTGCATGGGCGTTTTCGTGGTTTTCCCCATGTGTAACGTGTATACGAGCTAGTTTCCCTTAGAAAGTCCTCCACGAAGGCATCCCTCCCCTTAGGCAGATAGCCCTAGTGTGCTTTGCCATAATTAAATAAACCAAACCAAACCAAACCAAACCTTATCTGGATTTCTTTACCTCAACGTTAAACATTTTCTTCCTCTTACACTTCGCAGGGAGGGAAAAAAAGCTTCTCTATCTTTTTTCTCAGCCATAAAAACTCTACTACGATGTTCATTATTGCATCTGCATGTAACAAAAAGAACAAAATGTTGCATATACGTTTATAACTTCATGGAGTTAGCCATTTTTTATACTTCGATATGTGTTCTTTTAATATTCACGTAAGGCTTAATTAGCATGTTGGCTATGATTCATACTAAAATTGTATAAAAATCGAATCACATGCTTTTTTGAGTAATGGATTGCTAAAAAAAATTTTTTTTTTCATTTTATTGTTAAAATATGACTAATTTTTATATAAAGTGTAGTGGTGATGGTGCGTGTTAAGTGGACTACATATAGTCCTTATTCATTTTGTATATTGTCCGTATTTACTAGTCCTTATTATATTACATATTATAGTAATGCATTTTAGTAATGTTTACGAATTCGCATTGATACTGTGACACAATCATTTTGCTTCTTGAAGGCACCTTTTGCAATAAACTTCGAATGTTTCAGTTTCATCATAAATGAATTATTTTTATGGATATTTAGCGCTAGGATTTTGGATACGAAAAATATGAATTTGAATTTTGTGCTCTAATTTTGCATTATATTGGACCAAAAGTTCTTGGGAAAATCCTCTTGTTTGAATTTGAAATTTGAAAACTAATACATATATAAAGGTAAAAAATAGTAGTTTTCTCTAAAATTGTTTTGAATTTCTTTTAAATGAATGTCAAATGCTTCTAGGATTAATATATTCCTAATTGTAATGTGTAAGAATTGCAATATAAAATTATAGCTCATAGGAAATGTAGAATTATTAAACAATCAGATAATTATGAATTTTCTCAACTATATTCATAATTCTTGAATCTTTTGTTTAGTATTGAGTCATCTATGATTGTTTCACTAATGACCTAGCTAACTACAGTGTTATCAAATGAGTCTTACAAAAATGCATAATATTATGATGCTTCAAATCATTTAAACAGTATGATAATGGCTATCTGGTTACATCTTTGTGTAAGGTCTTTCTGATTTGTATATAAAGATATTTGAGTTATATTTATTTTATTGACAAATGTTTAGAAAGCAGACGTAAAACTCTGATTGACTTAAATGAATGTAGGTCTTTACATTTATTACTTAAATGAATGTAGGTCTTTATACTGAAAATAATGCTAGTTTCATAACTCCCTACAATTAAATATAATATGAATTTCTTGCATATCTATGAATTTGCAATTTGAAAGACACACAATTTGCATTTTGATAGTCCCAGTATCAATGAACACATAAATTCAGAAATTTTAATGAAGAAGATTTCTACTTTTTCTACAATATTCATTTAATTTGTTTACAGTTATGTATAGAGTTTGAGCTTAATTTCAGGAGAGGAGACTAGAAATGTTAACTTTTTGTTTACTCGTTTACCTGTTCTAAAAGTATCTGGAAGTGGCATTCGAAGGTAATTTGAAATTTTTACTTAACTCTACAATCTTCTACAATTTAAACAAATGAAGTAATGTGGTATGCATTATAGAAGAAGGCTTCAGGCTCAAATGACGTTTTACAGTTTGTTAAGTAAAAATAAGAAGGTGTTCCATTATTGAACACAGTTAGTATATGTTTATTAGTAGTTGAACACCAGGAAAATTTCTGTGAACTGAAAAATGTCAGCTAAGCAATTTACAATTTGATTTATTTTTAGTGTATCTGGAATCATTATTGCTAGTTTAAAACTAATGAGCAGTTTTTGTATATAGTGCTGGAACAGATTAAAAATTTAATAAAAATTAAACTCGAGGTTCCTTTCAGGTAACGAATATTAGCATCTTTACTGAGAAAAGCTAGTAAACAGAGTTTTTGAAATCGGAATAAATTATTTAATTATTTTAAAATGGTTCAAACCCAAAGAAAAAGATCTTTAAATCAAATATCAGATAGTAATTGAATCTTAAAATAATTAGACTGAAATTTTATGATAAACAATTAGAAGTAAAATGAAGATAGAAAGAGAGATGAGTCTAGTTAGAATAAAAATATCTGTGTAGAATTAAAATAAAAAGAGTAAAAAATACAGCAATCCAACATCCAAGTTTTAGTTATAGAGATGTCTTATATAAGCATATTATACTCTAAGTAAAGTGGTAAAAAGCCTTCCGTGTCATATTTTTTTGTACAACTGGTCTATTGTAATGATCTGAATGTTGAGTTTTATCAGAAGTACTTTATTAATTACGTATCTCGAGGTCTCTATCGATATTTATCCACGTATTGTCGAGCAGCGAGTACCAGATGCATGTAGATCACAGCCACTATCATACTATAAGACTATAAGAAAACCATTTACTTGAGAAACTTAAGATTGAGTCTACCAGGAAAATCAGAAATGAGCTATGAGCTTTAAATCTAAAAGTCACTCTGCACGTTTTTTGACGCATTTTCATTTTTTATTGAATCTTTTTGTTTTGTTTCACATTTAATTTTATATGAACAAACGTTTCGCAAAGCATTCGAATTTATAAATTATAATCTTTAATCTTACTGTAATCATGACCCCTATTAGTGGTCGAATGGTTAAAATCGCTGAATGCTAGGAGTTTGAACGCAGTGCCATTTCAGGCAAAGAGGCTGGCTTCGTGGTTGGTATCGAGAAAGGCCCTCATCGCAGGCATCCTTTCTCTAAGCTTGATAGCCTTTGTGTGCCTTTGCCATATTTAAACAACCTAGCCTATTGTGTAAACATAGAAACATATATGATAAGAGATTACACTCTTTATGGAAACGAAATGTACGTGTCGAAAGTGTGCAATTAAATTCTAGACATGTTGTTTACATATATATTTATATGTAAATGTAGTATGTAAATTGTGCAATGCGTTTATTTGCTAACAATTTTTATTTTTAGTGCATTTTTATAAAGAATTTAAATACTTCTTACATAATAACAGGACCGAGACAATGATGAAGAGAAAGAAGTACTCAGCTAGAATAAATAACTCAGACGGGAATTGCACGGGAAAAAATAACATGAAAGACAGTGTTATTTAAACCTGAAAATTAATTAATATGCATTATTCTCTGTCCTGATAAAATATTTATGTAGGTGTTTTAGTAATTAAGTCTTTTAATTAAGTTTTGTTTAATTAGGTTTTCTTATCATATGTGTGGAATTCAATCATTTAAGGTAATGTGGATTACCTCAGATAACAGGAAGTGCGGATAAATGGACAACTGTATTATTTCATAAAAAATTATCATTACGAAAATTTATTGCACACGGTACTGTTATTACGCAGTGTTATTACGCACGGTGTTAAAAAAAAATGTCCCTGAAAAATTATCCTGGAAAAAATGTTCCAGTAAACATGTTTCCAGAAAAAATTAAATGTTTCTAGAAAATGTATGGCTATTTTCTTATTTTTCCAAATCTTATAGCAAACCATTTAGTGTCATATCATAAATATCACCTCAAGTTTATATAACTTTTAAAATTAATGAACATTATTTAGCTTTTACATAAGAAAGTTGCCTTACATTTAATGAAATATGTTATACAAATGTACTAAATGTGAAATATTCTATAAAAGATACTTAAAGTGAATAGAATTAATCATACGATTGTGTTATGTGGATAATCACATATAAATTTAAACTAGGTCTTTGGAACATTGTGCATTATGCTTATCAATGTAGAGGTTACGTCGATTATTTTTTCAACAGTTCGTCGTAAAGGCCAAATCATATTCCCAATTCGTAAAGCCGTATATCATACTCCTAGTTAATAATAATCCGTAAAATGATATTCCCAGTCCGTAAAGCTGTAGATGCTGTTTCTAGGCCGTAGATGTGAAATATATGATATTTTATTCTTTAAGGGGCTGTGTACAATTCTAAATTTCATTTTGTATAAATTTTTTTAAAGATTACATTTTAATTTAGAATTAAGATTAATTAGATAATTAAGATTACATTTTAATTTAGAATTACTCGGTCCTGTTATTATGTAGATTTAATCGTACAGGAACAGACGTTGTGATCACGAGACATAAAGAAAGACAGTCGTGTGGGCGTTTGTTGAGCAATCGGAAGCAAAGGGGAATTAATGAAACATTTCGGAAAGCGGAACTGGAAAAAAAAAAAAAAAAAAACCACAGTACTTTTAAAAGCATTATACCAATTTCATTTACTTGTAAAGCACTTATATTTTTTCATTTCTTCGTATTTATATTATTCTCATTATTTACATAAACTAAAGTTTTATTCCTTAAATACATTAAATCGTAAAAGGAAATTTTATAATTTTTGTGTTTAAAGACCGGACACCAAATTTTTAAAGTTGTTTTGACAGATTAAAACATATTTCGGGAAAATTTGTATATTTCTCTTATTGGTCTGAAGAAGTATTTAATAATAAAGAAATTAAAAAAAAAAATAAATAAATGCATAATGCACAGTTCTGAAAAGACACTGCTTAAAGTTTATATAATTAAAAAAATTATTTAATTTTGGAAAATCTTGTTCCTCAGATTTTAAATATTTTCCATTCTCAGCGACAAAGTTTGAATTTATGATGTTTTTATCATACGTATAATCGTAGAGTTTCGCCTCCTTAATCGAACTACGTAAATATGTAATTTTATTGGAAAAAGTTTAAAATTTTGGATTATTCATTATTCGTATCGTTGAACTTTGGCCAAAAAAAGAAAGGAAAAAATGTTAATTAAATCTATATTTTTAATATAATTCATTGATGAAATTATATATTAATTAAATAAATCTGTATGTATGAATACTTATATGCAAAAGAGGCAAAGGGCCTTTTTTCAAAAAACAAACGGAAGGGCGATCTAAAACACGTTTGAACTCTAAACTTTTCTGGGTTCTCTTTTTAAACTGCATGGTAGATGTAAAACACACAAATACTAAGAAGTTAAGAAATGCTATTTCTGTCTGTACACGGACCACCATCAGTAATGACCGAAATTTTCAGCTGTCTTTTATTAACCAAATAGCCTTCAGCGACCAGAGGGGACAAGACTCTGGAGTAAGGCTTGAACGAAACACCGTTCTCACGGATGTTAACTAATGGTTGACTCTCCCCAATAGTATAAATAGCTGTAATTCATCCGCCCTCCCCTGAGTTCA